AAAGTTTTGAGTCGGTTCGGGTCTCTTCAGAATCGAACCGACCCACAGACAGCCCTACTCTAAATTCTTGCATTTCATTTTAGGAAAAATCCATTTGTACACTCTTGTGTACATTAACTTTGACACTCTTCTCACAAAAGAGTGTGGGGCCCATGATTTTTTAAATTGCGGACCCCCCACCTTTTGAGAGGAATGTGATGCATGATATACACCAAAGAGTGTACATGGAGCATGACTATTCATTTTATTTGTCCATTTTTTTCTCATTTTTTAGTATCATTGTATTGATTAATATTTTGATTAAACTAACGTTTTTCTTTGTGTTATGATCCGGTTTGAGATTTTTTTTCGATCTACTTATTATTCTTTTTTTCCTTCTATTATGTCTATACTAGAGTTTAAATATTGTATTTTGTCTTTTTATTTTCTTGATTATGTTTATTATTTTTTAACTGCATTTAATTATTTTAAATCAAAATTAACAATTAATTCTAATTATACATTTCATAAACTAGTTTTCAATCACACATTCCATCAAATTTTATTAAAATCTATTAAAAATTTGATTTTAATCTCTATCAAATCAGAGCTTAATATTCCTAGGGCCCATATTTGAAATTCGCATAAGTCTCTCAAAATACAAGGCCAACCTTGGGTACACCTCCCATTTGGGCCCGCCCATGACCCTGTTCCTGAATCCCTGTTACATTTTGAGTAGCACCATCATTATCAAGCACAATATAACTTGAAATTAAATACCAAAATTAAAATCTCAAAATTGCAAAAGTGCCAGATTGGATCGAAAAATCTTGAGAATCTTACTCACGGGTATGATGGTGATCACCAGAGTCATGGGCATGATGATGGTCATGCACATGATGCCATGGTGAGGCCATTAAATCCAAAATTTGGAATTTGTTCGGTGGAAATCTGTGAGTTCAAGATTTTTTTTATCTTTTAAGCAAATGATTGATGTAGACACGATGCAGAGGTTATTTTATTGAAATGATCTTGCGCGCAATAAATTGCATGCGCAGCCCATAACATTAGACTCAATTGCAAATTAATCCACAATATTTTTCAAATTTAACTCCTTAAGCTTTCATTTTAATAATGTTGGAGCTAGCATGGGAAAGGTTCTTTTCTCATGTTAAAATTTGGACGTTTTCTTGTAAATGAACCTAAAAAGGATTGTTGAGGAGTTAAATGTCAAATAAAAATATACGGACCTATTTGTCATATATCTCAATTATAGAGGAGTTCTCGTGAAATTTACCCTAATTAAATTTTTCCTTAGATTCGTAGTGTCTTCACAGGAAAATAGTAGCAAACTTCCAAAAAAGTCAACCCCATTAAGAACCCAATTGACCAAAATAATAATAATTAAATATTGCAATACAATCAATCTAGAGTGAAGTATTTGGAGATTGAAGCTTCAACTTCAACAGAATAGACAGCACGATAATAATTTAAAGTCCTAACAATGAAATATGCTATACATACTTTTTCTGCTAATTGGTTCCATTCATCACAACTACAGTAGTATTATATATAAAGAGAAGAAAATCGAAGCCACCGCTAAAATATTTATGTATCAAAAATTGAAATATGAACAAACAATTAGCAATCCATTCATGTTAACGGAAATGTTCTCCTACCCACAATGAGAAATTTTATTTTATCCATATAGAGAGAACCGTACTTACGGTTCTCACATAAGTTTTCTCCAAATGTGAGAATCGTAAGTACGATTCTCCTATCACATCAGCAAGTGGACAGTTTTATTGCACTCACTGTGGACAAGAGAACAATTTCATTCATGTTAATTGAAACAATTTATTGAGTGCATTGGTCCTTGAAAAGTGAGTCCCAAGTGCATTGCTTTTTCTGCATTCCTCATTAAAAGTATCCTTCTGAGTGCTGTCCATTCTTGAATTCACAGGTTCTGATGGTATCATCCCTTGCTTTTTCATGTAGTCCCATTTATCTTGAAAGAGGTAAAAAACTGCCATAAAAGAAACTTGAGCTGTGAAAATTATGCTCC